GGCTAATGCATCCATGGTCGCAATACAGGAAGTGTTTGAAGACAGAATTGTCAGTAGAGGACTGTGGCCTCCCAGATCCCCAGATCTCAGTATTTCTGATTATTATCTTTGGGGCAACCTGAAGCAAAAAGTCTACAAAAATAATCCCCGCAGCATTGATAGTCTTCAAAATGAAATTACACGCGTAATTCATTCAATTACCGTCGACGAACTGCAGAGAGTGTCGCGTAATTTATTTGTGAGATGCGCGGCATGTTTGCAAGCAGAAGGAGGTCACTTTCAGCACCTGTTATAAACCACGGTAAGTTATCTTTTTACTGTATTCTTATAAATGTGTGCATGTAGAGCAACTGATGGACGGAGACTCAGCGACACCACTACACTCACGCTATCGGGGAACGGCACTGCAGTCGCGGGGAGGAGTTTCATCCGTTCTGCAGTGGTATGACTCACGGCAAATTGCAGCCGCGGCGCGCACTTGATTGTACGCACTGTATTTGTTGTATTGACGGTAACATAGTACCTACATGTTATATACTGTCCGAGACACACAACAGGATGCAACCAATTAAAAAAAAAAGTATCACTCACCTTCATCTAGTGCCGAGGTGAAGAATGGTGGAGCTATGCTTCCACTCCCCCATCCTCATGACTTCATAGCAAAATGCTTAACTGATTAAGAACAGGGACAACTGTACCTTGTTTTACCTGCTGACCAACAAGTCCTGCCTGTGAGACACATCCCACCTGTTGAATACACTCATCTGAAGGGCTTCTGAATCCTGTTCAGGCTATGGCAGGAGTATTTGGATTGGGTGTCAGTGAAACATAAGGCCTGTAACAGGTGGAGGACAGAGACTGACATGCAATAATGACCCTACTTTAAATAGGATGTACAGAGTTATTTAACAGGTGCACCATCTGATATAAACAAAGTAACGCATTATAATCACAAATACACCATTTCCTCAGACACAAATTTGCAAGGAAACAGATTACAGCTAATAACAGTGCAATTATATTTAGTTTTTTAGATAGCATTACCACGGTGAGAAATTAAGCATCATGAATCCACCCAATTTGTCAAGAGGAGCATCAGACTCTTACATCTGAGCACCAGCATGGAAAGTAAAAACTCATTATATTGTAACGTGTTTGGGTACTGAAGACGCCGTTCAGATTGTTAATTGGTTTATTTAACAACCTACAAGTCTTGCCTACAATTAATTACAACACTGTTACGGGTTTCCACAATTTACAAACCCTATGCACTAATCATTCACTCTTCCCTCAGTATGCACGTATTTATAAAGTGGGAGTTATACAAGTGCAACTTAATTACTCACTCCATATCACTTGTCAGCTGTCACAAATTATCACTGAGTATCACACAATAACTCTTCTGATCACATGTTCGGGTCTTCTCCCTGCGATCGCTAAACTGCAACTCATGGCCACATTTCAACTCAACTCTAATGGCTCACTGCTGGCTTGAGAACTAACTTCGGCGGCTGATACACTTTAACTGACAACAACAACTGAAGTCAGCGACGGGCACACTTCAAACTGGCTTCGTAGGCAGTGTGGTTCACTTATATAGTCGCAGTGTGCACCTCTTACGCAATGGGTACCGCTATTGCCTGTTACCCATGTCACAGCTGCGTTGCATGTTACGTCACCGTGCGGAGGAGGGGTGCCAGAGCGCTGACTCACCTGCCACGTCACTGCTGGGGGTGAGGGGTTCTCCGTAGCGCAACATGTCACAATATGTAAAATAACCACTCATTAAATCTCACATTGGTTACACAACTAGAAAATTCATTATATAGAAATAACATCATTGTTACAGCAGATATCAAGGCAGTTGATATTATGATATACACTAACTTGACAGACCCTGGGACAGCGTAATTAGTACAGTTGCATTCAATAAGTCGGGCAACCATGTTTCCAACCAGGAGCAGAAGTGATGATGATTGTCTAGTGCACTGTAGCTGTAAATCACTGTGCCCCACTGCTAACATGTACCACAGCAGCTTCCCAACAGTTGAGCCCAGTAAGAGTACTTGCATGGGTATAAGACAATGCAGAGGTGTCCACACAACTGTGATCATATTGGTGACTATGTAATTTTTGCCTTGCTCACATATAAGTTACTCCTTCAACTTCTTGGTCAGACTCTTTCTTTTTATGTCATAGTAAAACGTCTATGTATAACACAGTCCATCAATAATGCAACAAACTGTTTTTTTTTTACTTATACTTTACCACAACATGTTTCGGCCTTAGATGGCCATCTTCAGGTGTCTTAATATATTAAAACTGTTACACTGCATTATTATGTGCTAAAATCACATGCTGTAGTCCACTTAATATAATAAAATAAAATAAAATCCATTAAAAACTTCTATTAATTTGGTGAAATTCTATTCCACCTGACAAGGGGTGTTGTCCATTTGTTTACTTCAACAAAACACCTGGAGAGAAACACATAGTTCTAAACAAATGGACAACACCCCTTGTGAGGTGGAATAGAATTTCAGCAAACTAATGAAAAATTTAATGGATTTTATTTTATTATACTAAGTAGACTACAGTGTGTGATTTTAGCGCATATTAACGCAGTGTACCAGTTTTAATATATTAAGACACCTGAAGATGACCATCTAAGGCTAAAACATGTTGTGTTAAGTATAAGTGGAAGACAAAAAAATCTGTTGCATTACTGACAGACTGTGTTATACATTGACATTTTAATATGGCTTGCAACAGGATGCTTAAATACAAAATTACAAATGGTGTCATAGTATTTACAAGAATCCATCAGTGGTGGTGCTGTCTGGGACCATTTTAATTCTGGGATTGCTAGCTTTATATCCCACTTGGAGTATGGATTTATTCTGCCATATTTCTGCACTTGCCAATATGGTAGAGGGTTTGTGAAGGATAGATCCCCCATCCAAGGCCTCCTAGCAAATGTCTAAAAACCACTAAATTATCTAAAACATGGCAGAAGGATACTGTTCATAAGGAAGAAAGTATTTACAAGAGCAGTGGACAATTAAATGTCTAAGGCCATAATGCAGGGCATTCCTCCAACACTTAATAATCACTGTAGGTCATGAAACTTCCCGTTTCATTCATCATGTTTGCAAAAGCCTGAAATAATTCAATTCAGGTCATGCCTTTGCAATATATTTTCAAAACAAATTCTAAACGGTTCTGATGATGGTGTATAACTCTTGAAATTATTCAGTTTTTTGTACTTTGTCCACTGGCCTTATTATTAAAGACGCTGAAGAACACAACGTTTTGGAAACTGAACCTATTTCCATTCTCAGGTATTTTCTACCATTCCTTTAGAATAACAGACAATGGACAAAGTCTAAAAACCCAATAATTCCAAATATTTTCCAAACCTTCATTTTACATATATAGGATCTGCAGTTCCCACATCAGTGGTTATTAAGACTTCTACCTCCTGGGACACAGTGCCGTGTATGAGTAACTGGTGAAGTCAATTACTTCGGAGGAACATGTTTCCTCCATCTTCAGGGCTGAATAAGTCAAGCATGAAACCAGCGTGAAGCAGGTAGCAAGCAGTGACGAGACATGTTCCTCCAAAACGCTGCTTAACTTTCAACAGGCTACACAGTGTTACATCCCAGAAATCAGAGGTCACCATTCATTTTATATATATATGCAGTGCCAAATTTATGTATTGTTGGAAAGGGAGAGTGCTAGGATGGCAAAAAAAAAAAAAAAAAAGGAGATGCAATATAAGTTATGTGTTGTGCTTTCCCATCACTCCCCCATAAATGTCCATGTCATGGTGCTTAAGTACAGGAAAAAGTTAAAAAAAGAACTCAGTCACAGTATTTTATTGAGTAACCAATTACAAATACAGCCTCCTTGATCTATCCTCAGAGCTAGCCTGTCAAACTGATCAGTCTACAGACATACTGTTAATGAATGTAACACCCAGTAAATGCAGATTTAAATTCCTACCTGAATATATGTTTTAAGAGCTCACTTCCTCTACTAGGAAATTTTGAGTGGCCTTTACTTAAATTATCCACAACCAAAATAAACTGGTACTGGTTATTATGTGTGTATTATTACACACTTTTGCAATTCTGGTGACTTATTAGCAATGCCATGTACTAATATTCAACATAAACTTCTTCCATAAGTTTACCTTCATGTTTTGCCCAGTTCACCTTGAGCTTCATTTAACAGTGGCATGAGTTGATCTCGGTACAATGTATGCCGATCCCCATGTGTCACTCTTATCACTTGCTCTGCACTCTTTAACATATCTAATGCTTCACCGAACTTTTTCAAATACAAGTTAATCTTTCCAAGTTTCAAGTAATGAATTCCAAGCAGTGGGTGACATTCTTTGTAGTATTTTCTATAGGAAAGAAAATCAATTGAGATGAGTAGAAATTGTTGTTTCTGGTCAATTTAATAAATATGATTATTAATACAAACAGTTTAATAGCAAATCATGAGAAGCCTGAAACACAATACTTAAAAACATAAAGGCTCAAAGAAGCAAACTATGAAATTTTAAGAACCTTTACTTCATTCACAATCAGAGACTGGAAGAATGTAAAGAACTCACCTTGCCATCAGCAGATTTCTGCTTGGCAGTCAGGTTCTTTGCTATCTGATCTATCATACTGACTGACTCACAGCACAGAAAAATTTAAGAGACAATAACAAAATTCCTGCTCTTATGGAATCCAAATCTTCTTCGGTATGATCAAAAGAGAACATGTCTGGCACTGTTTTGGGCCAGTTTAAATCAGTCAAAATATTCATCATTTTCATCTATGATGCCATTTAACATTACCCTCCCATCTACATGTAGATCTCCCAAGTGGTCCCTTTCACTGAAGTTCTGCGGGCAAAATGTAGTAGCAGCAGTAGTAAGAGTAGTAACAGTAGTTGTAGCAGCAACAGCAGCAACGGTGCTGGTTGTACAGCAACAACAGTGGTGAGTAGTAGTAGTAGTAGTAGTAGTAGTAGTAGTGGTGGTGGTGGTGGTGGTGGTAGTAGTAGTAGTAGATCAACAGCAGTGGTGCTGGTAGTACAGCAACAGCAGTGGTGATGGTGGCAGTAATAAGAGTAGTAACAGTAGTTGTAGCAGCATCAGCAGTGCAGTGGTGGTGGTGGTGGTGGTAGTACAGCAACAGCAGTGGTGATGGTGGCAGTAGTATTAGTAGTAAAAGCACCAGCAACAGTGGTGGCAGTGGTGGTGGTAGAAGATCAACAGCCATGGTGGTGATGGTAGTAGTAGTAATGGCAGAGGCAGTGGCAGTGGTGGTGGTAGTAATGTGATTACATACACTTCAACTAATTATTTCCAGCATAGATACGTCAAAGTAGGAATTATATACTAAAATGTAATTTTTGCTTCATTACAGTATGTACATAAAAGAAAGCATGTTGAATGTAACTACATGGAGACCAGGCAAGTGGTGTCCTTGAGAAAAAAGCACTAAAAATCTATATTAAGGTTGTTTTAGAAAACAGAGAATACACAGACAGAAGAGAAAATCAAGATCTGGAAGAGATCTGTACACACTTGCATAAATATGCATTTATGTTTATGCTGCAAATAACAGAAAGTCATGCTGAAGTACGAGAGTGGTGTCCACAACTGTCTTGTCTTATCCCAGTCATTATCCTTTTATCATAACTGTGGCATGGGCATGAGCAACTACAGAAACAGTAAGTATGAGGAAGACACTACTCTAAGATGATGGTCTGACTGTAGGGCACCACAACATAATAATTAAATGATTAGTGCTAAACAATTTCATGAGGTGAAATATGAATGATACATATGAAATAAATCAGGCTCTAAGAAGACAGACTGAAAAGTAAATTCAGCTAGACCGTGTGCTTTACAAACCAGTATTGTCATGTTTTTTATGGAGTGTAACTATAGGCAGGTTTTGGATGATGAATGGATTTATTGAATTCTTTGATATAGTGCGTGGCTACAATTCACAGTTCACTATTACACATACACCAGTGTCCACAGTCATGTATTCATTATCATTGCTTGGTAGTGGCTTCCAACAGCAGACATTCCCTTTCCTCTGGGTTCTCAAACTGCCCCAGCCTCAGCTACCAGCTTCTAAAAGTAACTGCTCACTATGATTGACCCGCAGTAGTCTTCTCACTAACTCCCAACAACTCATTCATGCCTAACCTGTTCTGCTTAAAACATTTTGGCATGGATTGCACAGAAAACACCATTCCTCTGTTGCAGTGTAATCGCTGCCATGGAAACAGGCTTGTTTGCAGAGTCATTACTTAGCAATGACTGCCAGTCAGATTTCCTGACAGGAGTGAATGGGAAGACGGGTTTCAGGCCGAAAGAAAAGGGGGACTGATCTGGTATACAGATGGTTCCAAGACAAATAAGGGCGCTGGAGCTGCTGTGTACTGCTATGGCACGAGGCGGAAACTTAGTTTCAGCCTTGGGCAGTACACAACAGTATTTCAGGCAGAAGTATATGCCATTAAGGCATGTATTATGGAGAATTCAGACAGGAACTACAGAAATAGGAACATCTACATTCTATCTGACAGCCAGGCTGCACTTAAAGCACTTGACAAACACCTGATCAACTCAAAATTGGTCTGGGATTGCCATCAAACCCTCATGGAAACGGCCAAACATAACAGGGTACAACTGATATGGGTGCCGGGGCATGAGGGTATTGCTGGAAACGAAACAGCAGACCAATTGGCCAAGATTGGAGCTGAACATGCGTTCATAGGACCTGAACCAGTCTGTGGCATCTCTATAGGAGTTGCCAGAAAGGCAATCAGGGACTGGACAAATATGAAGCACAAGAAATACTGGGGATCCTTGACTGGATTCAGGCAAGCAAAGGGACTCATACGAGGACCCTCTACTAAAAGAGCGTAGGAACTGTTGAAGTTAAACAAACCAGCTATGATGGGCGGCAGGACTACTTACAGGACACTGTCACCTGAAAGGACACCTCTTCAAATTGGGACTAAGTAACAGTCCAACATGTGAGGGGTGTCAAAGAGAAAATGAAACAGCCACACATATCCTGTGCGAATGTGAGGCCTCAGTGACTGTGTCACTTGGGTCAATATTTCATGGAACCAAGTGACTATTTCGACGTCCCCACGTACAAAATCCTACACTTCATTCGAAGCGCGGGATTGCTGAGGGGATAATCAGAAGGGGAGGCACAATAGACCACTAAGGTTGCGGTGCAAGGGCCAAGAAGGCCCACCCCTTATACATTCATTCATTCATAGCAATGACTGCTGTTCAGTTTCTTATTTCACAGTCATTGCCTAGCAACAGGTCTACATGCCACAGAACAATACACAATTAGGCTTGATTCCAGTATCACAATCCCTCATCAACTGTAGATTTCATGTACCCACAGTTCTCCACTGTATCTAGTTTCAGTACCTCTATGTGATTTCATATGTTCACACTTACAAACTTGTATACACATAAAAAAATCAGTGTCTTCCATATGAAGAGAACCACATTTGCTGGGGCAAGCCTATAATCGGCATCTGAAACCAATTTTCTAGCTTCCATTTTAGTAATGTAGTGTCTTTTTGTAACACTTTTTATGTTTTATATCTAATTCATTTCTACACATATGCATTTCTTGTATTTAGTGAAGGAACAGGAAACTTAGTTGGACTTTGCAACCAAGGCATTTTTCAGGAACATAAACCCTGCAGTTCATGAGGGAATGCTGTAGTAATTTTATATGCCAATTACCTAAAGGAACTCTGAAAATGAAATTACAACTGACTTAAGCTCTGTCTTCTATATGGCAGTGTGTAGCAAGTTATACTCCTCTGAGCCTTTATGCAGGTAAGATCTACTTCACCCAAACATGTGTCTGTATGAATGTCCTTTTTCTCTGTTCCACATACAACCTATGTATAGCAACATGAACTGACTTTCATCAATACAGAAGTGTATGCACAATACTCACACCCATCCAAATGCCCTTACAAAGAAATGGGAGCACTTACTGATATCCTGGAACAAGTTCCTGGCCAAATTCAGCTGCCTTCTCCCACTGTCCCATCTCAATGCTACTCTCAAATGCCAGGTCTAAAACTTTCACATGCAGAAGGTCTAAATTATGAAACAAACCCTGCTGCTTCTTCAAACAAACTTTGCACACATCAAGATCTGAAGAACAGTTAAGGTGATCAGTAATAAATTAATTCATACAAGTGTAAAACATAAAGAGCAAAAATTACCACATTATGCATGTTATTTTCTTTGAAAAGCTCAGCCACTCCATTTGTGCCAGTTTAGTCATGATGTAACATGTGGTCTAGTTAGTTAGTTATTGGAGAGGGTGGGTTTCCCCATGCACTTAGACCTGCATTGGTCCATTGTGCTTCCCTCTATGATTTCTACCAGTCTCTATATCCTACCGGTACTGGTGCTTACCATCAGTCCCGCCCAGCCAGCGAGACCGGCTCTACTAGCTGAGAGGTATCTATAATGCTTCCCCCATCTACCAGAGGTATTAGAGACTGCTGTTGGGCGGGAAACGTCCGTAATTTGGCTCAGTGACCTCCTTTGGAGATATGAGGTTCTTTTACGTGCCGTAAAGCTACGACACGGGACCCACGGCTTAAAGTCCCTACCGGAGGACTTGTTCCCTGAATTTTTCCGCCCTTAAAAATTTGACGACCTCCGCCAGGTATTTGAACCCACGTACTATGAGTCATGAGGTGGGAACGTTACCTGTAGACTACGGAGGCCGCTAACACGTGGTCTAAAATGTTACAGACCAATTCTGTCATCTTAAGTTATCATTTTTAAACCCTTATCATTATTTTTATCAGAAGCATAACAATTTATGCTCTGATAATTTGGAAATGTCCTTAAAATAACTGTACCCTAACCATTATAATTCAGCCACTGGCTTAAACTGCAAGTCAAAGGAGATATAATATTGTATGGCACTTCAATGCACAAAATGATAGCTACTGCAGACTCAAATCCAACTTGCTTTTCAGCCAACTGCTTTCATGGAAAATCTGTCAATGGAGCCAGAAAATATGACATTAAAACAACAACATTTTTGCAATCCTTTAAAGAGATAAATAAACTTGTCATTCAAAATATATCAACAAATAATTTGCAGAAAGGTGTTTTCAGAAGCACAACAGCATAAATTACAAGGTAATGTGTGATAAGCAAGCATTTTACCCTTTTGATGCATACGAGGGGGGACCCAAAAATAACCGGAAATGACCTGTTGCGCGCACATGCTTTGTAGTTACGAGTTGTGCTGCTAGGTGGTGTTAGCTGGGGTCTCCTGCGACTGTTAGTGAGCTGGCGTCAGTCTGAGTTAAGTGGCTTGTCTGTGGTGCTCTGTTTTGTGCGTTCCTGTTTCAACCCTTTGGGGATTAGTGAGATGGCCGACCAGAAGGAACAAAGAGTGTGCGTGAAATTTTGCTTTCTGTTAGGGAAAACTGCACTTCACTCTTCAAGTCGCAGCAAACATTCACGCGGTTTTCTCTTTGGTCATCTCCGAGCAAGTGAGGAACAAATTTTGCAGACACCCGTCTCATGTGCAAACCTTCGGTTAAAATTCGCTGGACTGTGCTCCATGAGATGTTCGTTTCCTCAAAAAGTTGGTCAATGGTCTTTCGACGATCTTCATCAATTTCATGCACACTCTTTGTTCCTTCTGGTCGGCCATCTCACTAATCCCCAAAGGGTTGAAACAGGAACGCACACAACAGAGCAACACAGACAAACCACTTAACTCAGACTGACGCCAGCTCACTAACAGTCGCGGGAGACACCCAGCTAACACCACCTAACAGCACAACTCGTAACTACAAAGCATGCGCTCGCAACAGGTCGTTTCCGGTTATTTTTGGGTCCCCCCTCGTACAGAAGTACAAAATCAGAACACTTCAAACTGGCACTTTTCATGCTGATGGAACAGTACATTTAATCAATTCAAACATAATAATATAGTAGTAATCAAAGGCATTCCTTAGCTTCACTAATTCTGTTCTGTGTGTTACAGCAACATCCACTGCTTGGAGTATAAGGAAGACATAACATAATATTAATCAAAGACAGAAAGTGTGACTGTTAGCAGTTGGTAACAAGCCACGCAGAATGATACACATAACTATCCATCTCTGAAACTGCGGTTACGTGTATTTTCAATTATCCACCAATATTTCTATTACATGGGTTGTTCTATAGCAAAGAACAAAGGTTTTTATATACACAGGCAGAACTAGCCACTTTTGTGCCTGGGTCCTAATGTTATGTATGCCCTTTAATGTGAGGTCCATGAACCAGCCAGATAAGCGATAGCCTTGAGCTGGAAAAGGTTTTCAAAGTTTGCAGGAACCAATGAGGCCAACAAATTTCCAACCAAATAATAAACACATAGATATAGCTCTCTTTCACTTTGTTCATAGTTCACAGTCCAATTCACATAGAAAAAATTTATTTCTAATCCATAAATCAGAGATAAAGATGGAATATAAGGCACATATGTATTTTTACCCATTCGTTTCCTCCTCTTCCACAACAAAGAAGACAAAAAGAGTTGAATGTGCAATAACAACCATAGTGTGTCTCAAAAATGTATCCAAGAAACTTAATGCTTGTGATTAGATTGGAGACATAAAAACTGAAAACAAGAATTCTTACTTCTATCTGGCTGCTTCCTACAGATTTACAAAACTGTTAAATTTATAACATGACACAATGGATGCCTCATAAAACAAGCTAACATGATATGTCTTGAAAACTGTAAGATAGATATTTACACTAATAACATATGACTAGAGTCAGATATCCCTTATCTGTTTTTAAATATGCAGGTAAGTCAATAAGTAAGCTACAAATGAATATAGAACTTAAACAAATAACAGTACTGATTTGAAAAATGATTTTATCTCTCAGCATTGAGGCACTGGTCCCATAATTTCACAAGCCCCTGAAAACCAGTAGCATAAAATTCTTTGGGCAGCTGTCAGAACCAGGCAGTGACTTCCCTTGCTACAGCTAGCTTCATCGTAGGGAAAATGTTTAGCCGAAAGATGATGTTTAAGAGGGCCGAATAAATGGAAGTCGCTTGGAGCAAGATCGGGGCTATATGGAGGAAGCTCGAGGACTTCCCACTTGAAATTTTGCAGCGTCTTATTTGTCTTGTTGGCAGTATGGGGAAGCGCATTGTCATGCAAGAGCAACACGCCTTTGGTGAGGAGTCCTGGTCACTTCCGTTGAATGGACTTACGAAATTTCCTGCGGATGTTACGGAAGGAGTCGGCATTTACAGCATTTGTTTGGCCCTCTTAAACATCATCTTTTGGCTGAACACTTTCCCGATGATAAAGCTGTAGCAAGGGAAGTCACCGCCTGGTTCCGACAGCAGCCAAAAGAATATTATGCTGCTGGTTTTCAGGGGCTTGTGAAACGATGGGACAAGTGCCTCAATGTACAGGGAGATTTTGTTGAGAAATAATGGCATTTTTGAAATCAGTACTCTTATTTGTTTAAGTTCTATATCCAGTTGTAACTTACTTATTGACTTAACCTCGTATATATGAAACATGTACCAAACTTAAAAAAAGTAAATGTGAAATACATGTTGTAGCCATACCACTGACACCACCAGCTTTATTTGTAATCAATATTTCTTTTTAGAGTAATTATACACAAGATGTAGCAAGGAACACTCAAGGGTGACTTAGCCCGATTCTTGGTTTCAAGAATAGGGCCTGCTTCACTGCTACGAAGACCAGACAGGAAGCACCCCGCAGAGTTTTCCTGGAAATTCAGTTAGAAAGTTGACCGGCGGGATCCTTTGGTAAAGTTACACTTGACAGGTTATGAACCCCGTAAGTCAAAAGTGGGAAGGCCAGCAACCCATGCTACTGGTATAATTTTTCAAGCAGCTGTCAAAAACGACGTTAGGACTTTAAGGTCCAAAGTCCCAAATTAAAGTTATGTGATTGGAACAGTGAGAATTATGGTTAACTCCCTAAATTCGAATTGTTCCAATCAGCAGAAATTAGGGTAGTAACTTGGAGGCGGAGCTGAAGCCGTGAAGATTTCTTGCTTCGAAGCAGGGTCAGTCTGCGAGAGGAGTCTCTGAACAACACTCCAAGTGTACAGCCGAAATTATGTTTAAGTGTTTGCAGGAACAATCTCTGGATAACTCTTCTAAATTTAACGTGAAATTTTCTTTGTGCTAAAAGTATACGTGAAAGTGCAATTCTAGGGGTTGTGCTAAAAGAAACAGCCACTAACTAACTAGCCAGGGATCCGGTCGCCAACGTTGGAGAGATTTCCAGGTGTTTTAAGGAAGTGCAACAAGTGCTATTAAATGTACGTGTGTAGCAAGATTGGCTAATTAAACAGTGTGTGTTAGTGCCTACCTAAAACACTCTTCTCTTTCCCGCTGACGCGAGGCCCGTATTCACCCTGAGACCGAATCTCATCGCTCCAGTGAGAACGCGGTACCTAGCACCTGTAGTTTCCAGTTCATCCCCCCTTTTCCCCGAAAAGTAAGCCATTACAGTAAGCTTACTGGCGCCCAGCACTCCGATAACCCATACCCCGCAAACTATTATCCACCAGAACAACAAAAGGGGAAACAGAACTGGATAGGAAGGACGCAGCAGCAACCTGCCAACTCGAAGTACCAACAGGTGAGAGGGAACGGCTAGAGGAGCAGAGGCAACCAGCAACCAAAGGGCTCTTCAGAGGACTGCCGGAGAAGGACGGTTAGAAGGAGTGGGACCCAACGCAAAGGGCCTTAACGCACTAGACGGTTAGAATGTACACTTATGCACAAACGTTTATGTTGTGAAATTATATATGAAACAAAACTGGTAGGGTTAGATGCTCGACACTATATTATTCCACCTCCCCCAACAAAAAAAAATAATTGCAAAATGATTATTAATTTGTATTACCACTCACACCCTGTCCAGGAGTGGAAACAATTTTACATTAGGCCTATAATGAGGAACTCAAATGTTGTATCAGAATGATTATATATCCTAAAGCTCCCAATATCAGCAGATTAACAATCAGCACTCTATTTTCTCCTGTGAGTTTCTTTGTAGACCAGACAAATTTCTCTTGATGACTAAACACTATGCCATACTTTGCCCATTTCTGACCCAGTGGCTAAAATAGGTGAACTTATTCAATTCATTCAAAATATCTGTGTTTACATTACCATCAGTTTCTAGCAAACAAAGAGAAGAGTTAAACTACCACAAATATCTCAGTATCATCCATCACTCTAGTCATGACTCTCGCCTAAACGTAAGAAATGTCAGGTGCTCATGAAATATGTTTACAAATAGTGACTGTCACAAAAATGGAAGGAAGAACCAACAAATAAGAGCATTACCAACTTTAAAGATAAAATTCACAATAACATTTTATATTTTTAAATGGAAATTACTATCTAGACTTCCATTTGGTTCTTTGTTACTACTGATATTTTCAGGTTTGCAGTTTTATATAGCTGCCATTTCTTTCTTTTTTGTTAAAATATGCAATAATGATGGCAAAGTACTTCAATTCATTCATGCTAACAGCTAACAAATTAAATACTGGATGTGACAGTTTACAATAAGCATACAGCACCAATGATAAGCTACACAACGATCACAACAGCAAATATACACACTAGACAATGCAGTTCAATGGAGAGGTGTTCATAATAATCATTATGATGAATAAAATTAATGAAGGTCTCAATAAAGCATTGTCTGTATTTCCATGATGATATTATTCCACCATGAGTTTACTGTACTTTTCATACGAAGGATACACGCTATGTCTTTCATGACTTGTAAGTGATGCCTTGTGAACTCCTCGACTTCAAGATACTTCTTATATGTGTCTGCTTTTATGTACACTCCACAGGAAGGGCACGGCTGTGGTAACTGTTCATGATCCTGTAACATAATAATGTGGCATGCAACTGAAATCTTGGTTGATACAAGTATACAGTAAGATCTGACAATTTTTGTACCCATCAACATGTGTCCTCGGCATAAATAAAAGGAAACAGAGTGAGTGCACCATAGCAATGTTAACACAGCACAGAGAGAGAAGGGATCTCTCAACTCTCCATGAAGATTTATGGAAGAAGAGAATTTTCACAAAGTTCATCTCATATAGATGAGAAGACAAGCAGAAAATGGTGACTCATATTATGCCAAGACTTCATCTGGACTTGTCAAGACAATCACACTTTCCTTTATCACATTTTCTCTTTCCTAAGGTGAACACTGCCTTCAAAGGAAAGAGGTTTCAGCAGGCTGAAGATCTTAAGAAAACCATGATGGCCGAACTGAACACTGTTCATTTGGAGGCCTTTCTGACTATTTTCAAAAACTTTTTAAACAATTCAACAAAACGTACTCCAGTTCGGAGAAAATACTTTTAATATTTACTTGTATCTTTTATTTCTTTTTTCATACCAGTCCTGGAATTTTATTGCCAGACCTTGTATATAATCACATACCTGTTGTTTCACTGAAATCCCTTGGCCACAGTCCTGATTTGGACACAAAATCATATTCGGTGATTGGATGCTGGTGCACAGATTACAGTCACACAGAAAATAATACATGGCCTGAAGTTCTGCCTGTCGATCTTGAGGAAAATTCAGTAAATCAATGTAACTTATGAAAATCTGTAAGAAGAAAAAATACATTCAGACAAAGTCTGCAATGAAACTTCCAGTTCTGTCCATATTTTACATTTGTCTTACTTTTTGTCACACTCTGAGGCTGATGTCAGATACATTATATTGTGTCACTCCTGATCACACACTCTCGTCACATACTGCTCAGCTGGCTTTTTACACCGTTCCCTGTTGCCTCGTGTTACAGTGGTGTTCCCTGTTACGTCACAGTGGGAAGTGCTGTTACGTCACTGCGGGGGAGGAGGGCGGAGTGTTGACTGGCCTGTTACTGTAGCAGCAACAGCGTTCCGATGCTGTTACGTCCCTGCTGGTGGGGGAAGGGGTGTCCTGCATAGTGCAAATACATCACACTGCTCCCTCCTTAAGGTGGTTTGTCCCGAATAGCCTAACGGTTCATCCCTGTTCCTTTTCTTTGAAGGCTGTTCTTACAACATCTCCTTTTTGTCCAGCTACTCCTCCTGCAGTGACTATTCTCCAGCCGTTACATCCATGGCCCAGCGTTTGTGAGTCCCATTGTTTCACATTCACTCATCACTTTCATCCATCGCATATTCATTCTCGCTGTGGAGGCTGGTATTTCTATGTTAGCGGCTCCTCCTCTGCTTGAAGTATCTTTTTTCCATTTTGGAGGGGGTCCACCACTCCACAAGTTCCATTTCCTCATTTTCGGCAAACCACTGGAAATTCCTACTGCTCGCTTCACGATTTCCAGCTTTAGTGTCTTCTTGAGAGTCTTATAGACCGGTCCTATTTTTCCCAGAGGTGATAGATGTCCTGAGCTGCACTATCTGATACTGATCACAGTTGTTCTCTTCTTTCTCTCATATAGTGGCCACTTGCCACCTTGGTCCTTAATTCCATTTTTGCATTCAGGTCTCATTTGATATCTCCTCCCAAGCATCCGTTCTTTTAGGGTTCCTTGTACCACATTGCCATGGCTTTGTTCGTAATGCCTGCATCCTGCACAGCATGTAATCTTCCTTATGGCTGAGGTTACTTCTTTCCGCGATTCACAGTTTCCATGGGTCATAATTTTTCTGAAGATGTTCCTCTTGCGCCATGCGACTGTTGCATGATGAGACATCTTCCTGCAGGCGGCAGCCAACTTCATCCGGGATCCACAATTTCCTTGGGTCAGTTTCTTCGGCTCTCCGCATCACCCTGCAGCTTGCTTCTTACCCCTATGCCTCTTCTTCTGTCCTTTGATCGGTTTCACTACGGCATCTTCGTTGGGGACTTCTTGTTGTTCTACCGCCTCAGGTTTCCTGTCCAGTGAGGTTAGCTGTTCTTCTTCTAGACGTTCCTCCATCTCTTGACAGGCCGATTTTGGCCACTATATCCTTGTGGCTGGTGTCCATATTTTCTCGCATAGCTTTTGTCTTTACTGTGATCGCTTCCGTTTCTGCAGCAATCTTTTCTCGCCAGGCTTTTCTATTGGCGTCCACTTTTTCTTGGTTGCTTCTAATTTCTTCTTTGTCGGTTTTTCTACCGGCGTCCATTTTTGCCACTAGGCACTCGAACAATTTTTCCATATCCATCATGTGGCAGTATAATTCGTTTTAATTTGTGGCATGTTAAAGTTCATAGACCAATTCTGACACCAAATTGTCACGCGTTGGGTGTATGTCATGTGACAGATAACTTCCCACTGTTCTGGATCTAGCAAATTTATTGCACATTCACTCCACACTTATACAATTCACAATTGCTGCCACTGGCAGTATCACAATTACATCCACTGCTCTCGGCGACTTCACGATCCGCACTGTCACTCCTGATCACACACTCTCATCACATACTGCTCAGCCGGCTTTTTATACTGTTCCTTGTTGCCTGTTACATCACAGTGGGAAGTGCTGTTACGTCACCGCGGGGGAGGGGGGCACAGTGTTGAATGGCCTGTTACCGTAGCAGCGACAGCGCTCCGATGCTGTTACGTCACCGCTGGCGGGGAAGGGGGTGTCCTGCATAGTGCAAATACATCACGATATCATACACAGCCTAAAATAATCTCACTGCCATACTTAGGTTGATTGAGGCATATGCCAGTTTTGAGTATACATATTTTCCAGTTTCTCCACGATTTTGGTCTTGATATTCATTTATGTCTAACACAAATCTTGCAGATGCACAATAAAAACTTGTGTGTGTGTATTGCATAGCATATCTCTCTAAAATAAAATTAATTCCTTTACTTCAAACTGTTCTTTCTTTGTGTATTTCTTCATTAAAAAGGCAATCAAAAGAAAAACAAATCAGTTTCATTACATTGCAGACAAATATCTACTACTGCAAAGCTATTCATTCTATCCAGAGGCAGAAATTTCTTTTCCCTTATTTCATTAAATATTCAATAAACTGGAGAGTCACAGATAAAAGCTGTATATATTAATGAGCACTAACTTATGTTATCAACATTTCTGTGAGGTGAGGTAATGTGCCATTTCTGGGGGATGGAGAACCTATTACTGTAATTTGTGGCTTTCTGGCAGTCAACACAGCGATAAAAAATAAAAAAAAATCTAATTGTTTAGATTGGTTTTATATAATAACTGTTACATGTTTTGGTCCATATTTGGGACAACCTTCAGGCAGTTTTATTAAATACATCTCACGTTATTGAAATATCATAATATGTATCCACATTAGTGTGGATCATAATCATAATACACATAATTATTACTAAAACTATGAAAATTTTTAAATTTTAAAAATTCTCTCATAATTACAATGTAAAATTCTATTTTATCTGTTATGTATTGTAGGTGGCGTTTATCATCCACGGTTTGCTGTTCTGTTTATATGTTTTTGGTGCTATTCATGTATAATATTATTATTAGTTTTCAGTTTTTATAAATGTTTCATCTTACCTTCTATGAGTGATTGAGCTTTTTCTCTTTAGAGTGTGTTGTGACCTTCTTGTACTGACCATAAGTTTGATTACAGCTTCATGCAAAGTAGGTTTTATATTTGAGATAAGAATCAGAATTAAATATACTCAAGTTAGAGGCAGGCTGATGGACAGACATGACTTTCCCATTATGTACTCTTGTCTTACACTCTGTGTATACAAATTAATACATTGTACCTATATACAGATCTTCACAGCATTTATAAAAATGTCCTACAATGAGAGCAATGAATATATGTAAAACTTTAGCCTAGGTCAGCCTGTACTCACCAGATAAAGGACTAAAAACCTCTGATACCTAATAACACCTTTTGGTATTATGTATAAACATACCTTTTCCCAATCCAATACAGGCATATCTTTCACAGCACGAATATGAATGATAATCCCCTCAAACACAGCAACCGCATTGGGATCACAAGAATGGTCTATCACAGAGCAACCCAGATAGATTCCAGTACCGATACTCATCATTTCAGGATCCAGGATGTTAAAACCATTCACACACATCTGCACAAAGCATTAAACTTTTTAATTAAATATTAACTACATGGAGATTTAAAAACTTGTAGTGAACAATACACAACCACACATATTGTTAACTGACAACAGATGTGATCCAAAGATGCAAACAATAGGAAAGATAACAATTACAAAGATGAAGAAATGAAGAAAAATTCAATTCATGTAATTTATCAGTTTTGCACAACATTTACATTCCTCAAAAAAAAAAAATGGGTTGTGGTGAGCCAGTTAAGCCTGCCTGGTATGAATTCAGCACGTATCACTGAAAAACTAGTCAGCATTTCCAGCTTTCAAATTACAGTCAACTCTCAATAATCCGGGATAATGGTGGGGATGGAAATCACGATTAATCGAAAACCCGGTTAAGACAAATTTTATTAAAAGTAGTACTGTAATACTGTACCTTCATAATACTATAGGCCTACCTGTATTTAAATTTATTCAACCTCATTTTTATGTCATCTCATGGCCTATTTAATACTTTTTTTACATTACACTGAAATATGAATTAGTTATTTCAATCACAGTCTTCAACAACATCCAACATTTTTTACGAATATTCACACTTAACACTTAAAAAAATTAATATTGTCGTTTACTTTTTCGCAGCATTTTCCTTTTAACACAACACACTTCCTTTTACACCCTGACATTTTGCTAACGCACTTGAAGATCGATGCAAAGAAACTAACTGGGGCAGAGTATCTATCCTTGAAACTTT